ACTTAAATTATTCTAAGATTCTCTTAAGCTTAATATTTATATTTCCTTTTCCTTGCTTACTACAAGGAAAATATAATATTATAATATGTTATTTTATATATATACACTAGATATTATATACTTTCTTTTTTTATATATATATAAAATCTTCCATTCCAGGAAGATCTTTCCTTCTCTTGTGAACAGAGGGTGGTTTTATCCCCTTGTGAAACGTGAAACTGAGCCGCATTGCAGGTGCTGGCTGTTCCCGCAGCACTAGATCTGAAGTCGGGGGCATCTTCACACCCCACAAGAAAGAAGGGTCTCAGCTTTTCTGTGCACCTCTCACCAGCGGGTTGGACACCCGTTGCACCGCATGTTTCTTTAGCTGCAGCTCCGCCTGGCTGTGTCGTATCAACACAATGAGTACATGGCCTACGAGGCCATGTCCACGCTTGGATTAGGCCTCGGAGGCTTTGGCTGTAGTAAATCTTTAGTTAAAAATCCAGTGCCCATTTGTCCTTTAAATTTGAATAGCAACTATATGGCCCTGAGTTTTTAGTCAATTTTGTTTTCACTTTCTTCCTTTAAAAAAAAAAAAATCCTAAATTTTTGAATCTGAACTTTGCAACTATTGCTTTGGTCTCTAAGTCAATGAACTTTCTGACAACATTCCATGTAAAGGCTTAAGCCTTTCCTGGCAAGTGATTAACAACTGGGACGAGCCCTTCCATGAGACATGAGTTTTGCAGCCTGTTGTGTGGTCTGTTTGGCTGGGTCTGTAACACATTTCCGATTGTCTAAATAGAAAGAGATAAAAAGGAAAGGGACTGCCAAACTCCACTGTATAACGTAAAGTGAGTCAGAGGGAAAAGGTTTATAATTTTTCTTCTTCCTTTTACATTGCTGGCTACATCTTATCTTCAGCCAGAAGATGCTAACATCATTTCCTCTCTATAGATTGGCTCGCACGTGATACAAAAACACAGTATGACTTTTTTTTCTAACTTAATAAAAGTTTTGATACTCAGTGCTATGAAATTCAAGAATACTGATTTAATCTCAGAACTGTTAAAACATCACTTTACTGAGCCAGTGGGTATGTATATTGCCTCAGTGAGCCATCTCTTTTAACAAAGCAGTAACATTTAGGGTGGAAATTGGGAACTAATCGCAACATCCTATGTTTGCAAAGTGATGATACCAGGGCTTTTTTTTTTTCTGAGCTAGCACAAGCATATTTCTACCTCTTTTATTGCTCTTACGACATCTAGTCCTGTTTGAACTAATAGTGTGATTGCCCCATGGATTTTAACAGAGCTGCATGTCTGTTGAAACTGATTCAGAAAGCAGTTGTGTCCATCTTCGCTACTGAACGAAAGCCCAGTAAATCCCAGAAAAGCCTTCGTGAAGTTTTTAACAGTGATTCAAATGAACAGTGATTCACCTACTCGTGAATGAAATATGAAACTTGTTTCTATTGCTCCCATTGCTGTGCCATCTGTATACATCATGTGAAACAAAACGATACCAGTGACTGGCAAAAACTCCCATGGCTTCACAAAGGGAAGCAAGAAAGTTGATGAATTGCTGCTCTTTTTTCCTGTTAAGCAATCTCTCAGTTTTGAGATTTACAGTTATTTTCTTTGCAGTGTAGCTGTCTACTATTTAAATAATTGAAAAGGCATGCCCTGCAAACACGTTTTATAATTCACTCACGAAGATATGAGGATCTCCCACTTTGGTAATCATCATAGTTAATCACAAATGAAATCTTTCTGAATAGCTCTGGTATTTTGAAAGTTGTGAAACAGTCATTCATGGTCTTCATTGAAACCCTTCCTGTTGCGATACCTGACACTTAACGTGTCAGTAGCAGCATGCATGAGCTGCTACAGGCAGGTCAGGCCCACAGGGGGTCGTGAAGGGATCATTTAACAGGTAGGTCATCACATTGGAGGCCACGTAAGAAAATACACCATGCTTCACATAGGTCTTGGCAGCAAGTATCCCTGGAACAGACCTTTCAGAGACTTCTTGGTGCCATGGTGGAAAATTAGAGTTGATTAGTGTGAGCATGTCAGGCTCTGGACTGTCCTTGTGTCTGGGGGTGAAAGGCTATCAGGTGTGTTGGAGGGCCTTTGGCTGGCTGAAGACTTCACTTTCCAAGGGCCAGTGCAGCTACTCGATGATTGCCTGCTTGCGTCAAGAAGCACTATTAAAGCAGTATTAAAATGCCCCATTGTGGGATGTGTGCAAAGGTTGTGTGGGTCACAGGTAGCCAGTAAGTACCCAGTGTAGGCATTGTGTGGCTTAGCCTACAACTGCAGTATTTTGGTTTTGTACTTGCCCAAGGTGTCCAAAGCAGCATGCAGGCTTAAAAGTGCCCACAGGCATCTCAAATGCCATTTTCTATTGAGCAGGAAACAGCGTGTTTTAAATGCAGTTTCTCTCAAAGCTAGTGGTTGTGCTGACTTCCAGCAGAAAGCTGCCACGGTATGTACCTTCACGTACAGACACTTCCACTTCCCAGGGCTGACTGACTATTTTTGAGGAGTCGAATAAGCCCTGAAAATTTGCAGGCTGAGGAAGTGAACATAAAGTGTCCTTCTACTAGTTAAATGGCAAGCAAAACATAGCTTTTCTAATCACTTCTTTTCTCCGGGACTGCTTCTGGATGGTATTTCTTCCTTACACTGTCATCTGTTAGCTTGTTAAGCACAGGAGGTTGACACCTACAGGCAGCACCCAAATAATCAGCTGGCTTGAGCCTTGGTCTGGTGCAACTGCAGTGGTCCGCCCTGAGGCTTTACAAGGTTTGCAGCGTGGCAGATGCAAGGGGCGCAGGGACTAGCTCCATATTACCACAGCTGCCATGGCCAGCAGGCAACAGTTAGAGCAAAGGCATTGCAGAAGGTCCTTCTTACTTTCTGGAAGAAAAAGTGATTTGCAAAAAACAGACGTAAGCCCGGTGTGTCCCCCGCTGATTGCTGTCAAATGGAAACATATGGGATCTTTGCCATTGAGTACTTATGTGTGAATGCATCCCGTTGTCACCATGTGGCCAAGCCTTGAGGTTTTAAGGACCATCAAAGTAATATCCAAGATTTCCTTTCTAGGGAAAGGATCCTGATCAGATTAGTAGGTAGTACACAGGTGGTTATCTGGGAGGTATGTTAATGCTAGAATTGTTTACAGTAATCTGGTAACTCCTGTTTTATGAATTAACTTTACAAAACAAGTGGAAACATGCTGGAAATTCTTGTCTATCAAACAATTGAACTTGATTGCTAAGGAAAATGTCATTGCAAAGCAGAAACAGTGTGGTATTGGCCTGCCAGGCAAATACACAGATGTCCAGTGCAATCGCAAGGAAGTGATTTGTCGGTGTATCAGCAGTGCCTTTCCAAGGAACGATTATGCTGTGTGTCACTGGATTTCAATTTCCTTTAATTTGACTACCCATGTATCTATGAAGTATCACTGCAGCAGTACAACTGCAAATTAGGCTAACCAGGCATCTCAAGGGACCTGGTCAGGTTTGTCACAGGGATTTCCTGGCTGTCAGCCCTAAAAATAACTGATTCAATGATACATCAAGTCTGAAAGAGTCTAGATTCAACAACGGAAGATTTTATGTTGCTAGGTAGTATCATTGCAGTGCATTAAGCTCAATTCAGCATGAGTGGGTAACACCTGAGAAGCTAGGGAAATAACTGGGTCACTGTTCCCACTAAACTCAGTGTTATAGCAGTAAGCTGCAACCTGCATTTTAGCTCATTACCTTAACACGAGCTCTAGTATGTCTCTGTAAGTGGCAATTTGAACGCAGTAGCTTGATGGCAAAAGAGAGAGTAATGACCACATTACTATAGCTGTCGCGTTAAAAATCTTACACGCTGTTGGACAGATTTGTTGCAGAACAAGCTAGCAGAAAAACACAGTAAACTTACAAATACCTGTTTTTCTGGAGCTTGATTCAATCGCAGCAGATGGGAAATTGTGTTTCTGGGACCAGCGGTGTATCCCCTTTTATTTGGCTTTAAATCCATGATTTAGATTGAGGATGTAACAGATCTGACCTAGAATCAATTCTCCTAGTAAAAGTCCTCTCAGCTGGGCATGTGGAGCCCTGCCTATTAAAATGTCATCCTCTTTCTCATCTCCTTTTATTAAAAACTCCAACTATTCCCTTAAGTAATGAGATGTTTTTTCACATACCTGATCATGCCAAGCAAGTCCCTGAAAATTCTTACTCAGCACTTTGAAAATTATCTAATAGTTAAATGGCCCTCTCTGGAAATGAGAGCGCTGTGATGAAACTGATAGAGTTTGGCTATTGATTTCCAGTAGGTCTGCCATATATCGATATCGAGTCTTTGCTGAGTTCATACTCCTGAGGATGTTAACAAATTAGTTTGAAAACTTACAGACAGAAAGCTCAGTTCACACATGTTTGAACAGAGTGGGATAGTTAGAGATTAAACACT